ATATATATATATATATATGCATGTGCCAGATACACAGAAGTGATTCAGGATCTGTATTCATGAGGATTTCATATGTTTTAGAAACAATAAAAAAATTAACAAAAATGATTAGTGACCAAAAATGTCAGATGGTGTAACAATCATGTAAAAATTATGTATTTTATTTTATTTTTGCAAAGCTGAATTTGCTGAATCAGCATCATTCCTCCAGTCTTCAGTGTCACATGAGCCTTTATAAATCATTCTGATATGCTGGATTTGCTGCTCAAAAAACATTTCTGATTATTATTATTTTTGGTTGAAAATGGTTGTGTTGCTTAATAAAGTGTGGTGGAAGTGTTTTCTTTTCCTTGGGATTCATTGATAAACTGAGATGAAGAATAGCTTTTATTTGGAATAGAAAACTTTATATGAGTGCAAAACAATTTAAATGACTTTACTGTCACTTTTGATCAGTTTAATATGTTCTTTATGAATAAAAAAACACCCTATATGAATCTTACTGTACCCAAACCTTTGAGCACTAATGTATATAAAGAAGTCTGCTTTACTACTTATTCATTTAAAATAAACAATAAAGGTTAGTAAAGATAAAGCTCAGAGAAGGGCATTTAAAATAATATTTTCAATGTAAGCGTGGGGTTCGACCTGACCTGCAAAACACCTGTCCTGGTCACCTGCTGTGTACAAAGTATTTCCATTCAAGTGCAATATGGGCAGATCAAGTGAGATTTCAGAGGACTCCTGAAGAGTTGTTAAAGCTCACTAGACTGTAAAGAGTTACAGGAGGATTTCAAGAGACAGTCTGATTACAAGGGAAAGAAATTCTACTGTTATTCCCCTGAAGAGATCTCCAAAGATCAGTGCTGGAATACCATCAAATCCTCAAAGAAACAACAAAGGACCCTTGGGAAACCGCTAAGGATCCGCAAATAAAAATAAATAAATAAACACTTGCACACACACACACACACACACACACACACACACACACACACACACACACACACAAATAAATAAAAATGCATCCCACTGGTTTTTGCAAAGCATTAACTGAACAATAAGCTAGACATTAAAGAAATGTAGGTGAACAGATGCATCGTCCTGCAGAGCTTAGCTCCAACTCTAATCAAACACACCTGAGTCAACTAATAAATAAACTGCTAAATGCTAATCATTGATTTCATCCCCGTTCATTTTAATACACTGTAAAAACCCTGAGCATTGCAGCACTGTTGAGTATACGGTCCCCGAGTCAACTTATAAAGGTCTTTTGGTTCACAAGTACATTATTTTTAATGTTCATAAATATTCCTAAATAACTCAGATTTAAATGTTGCTCGCAAAAAAATAAATAAAAAATCTGTCAGAAACCAGTCATATGCCCGTGAAATCAATGCTTAGACTTCCTTGGTTCCTGATCACTGTACTGGTCTGATCCGAAGCTTTAAAATGAAATCAAATAATGTTCCACTACACTGAAAATAAATA